AAAAAAAAAAGAATAACTACTTCCTAGTTACCCAAACCTTCAGCAAATTGCAACTTTTCCTTATGACTGCCACCATCTTTCCGACTAAATCTAAAGTCTGTTTGGAAAACTACCCCCTTTAAAAAAAAAAAAAGAATTATTTTATTTCTTTGAAAGACAGAGTTACAGAGAGAGGTAGAGCCAGAGAGAGAGATGTCATCCATCCACTGGGTTCACTCCCCAGATGGCCATAATGGTCGGAGCTGCGCTGATCTGAAGCCAGGAGCCAGGACCTTCTTCTGGGTCTTCCAGGTGCAGGGGCCCAAGCACTTGGGCCATCTTCTACTGCTATCCCAGGCCATAGTAGAGAGCTGGATCAGAAGAGGAGCAGTCAGGACTAGAATTGGCACCCACATGGGATGCTGGTGCTTCAGGCCAGGGCTTTAACCCACTGTGCCACAGCACTGGCCCTGGAAGCTACCCTTCTTTAACTTCTCATTTGGGTTTTAGAGAAAGCCAGCCCCATTCCCAAGCACTGAAGTGGCCCTGACATGAATCCAATCTGCAGTCTTTACTGTCCTGGCCATTGATTCACAGGGGCTCAGATGATTTGTTTATCAGAGAGTTGGTTGGGAAATCATCTGGGAAAGAGGTGATTTTTCATCCATGGCTATAGCTCTCCCACAAGCAAGGGCTAGCCTTGGACTAAAGAAGCACTTAAGATGTCAGAACAGAAAGAAAAAACACTCAGGCCACCAATAACGTTGCTCCACTTCTAAACCCATCCAGCCCATGTCCTGCGGATTTAGCCACCTGCCTCAGCAACTACATATTCCTATCATCCTATCTGCCAGTTCAGATTGGGTTTTTTGTTACTAGCAGTCAAACATATCTTGTTGGCATCTAGATGTCACCACTGTCATATTGCACAAGTAAGTACTGCAGGGGTTTCCAGAGGATCTCACAGATCAACACAGAAGAGCCTAAATCTAACTCCACACTGGGTTCTATGTATAACTAAGATGTTCCCACTGTGCCACACTGACTTGAGATACCAGTGACTGCACAGCCATTGTCCAAATAGTCTCTTTTTTTCTTTCACGGTCCCATCTAAAATACTGATACTTGAGTAAAGAGTCAAGTGTCTTCCTCTTCATAGACCACAGACTAATCGCAAAGAGTCACAATTCAAATGTCATCCTTAGATGTGATCCAGAAGGGAATGGGCTGAAAATTTCATGGAAACCTGCTGTTCCCTGCCAACAATTTGGATAGATCAACCTTGGAAGCTGCTGCTCAGATAGTTACAGGGAGCACCCTTGGGAATGGGAGTGAAATCTATTCTGAGCCACCGCATCTGGTAAAAGGCCATTTCCTCCCCAAGTAGCTGGTCTGTAGAGATTTCTTGCAATGGATGCTTTAGGGTACAAATCCCATCTGCCTAAAATGCAAACCACAAATGTAGCTTTATTTCTAAAAAGTAAGAAATACAAAATTTTCCTCCAGTTTGGGCATGTTCCTTTTTAAATATTAATTAAAAAAAGAGAAAATACAAATTTTGGCTCCTGCAATTTTTTTAATATAGGAAATCTTGTTGATTTGAAAAAAAGCTTTCACCAATTTGGCATCCATGGATTTTAATTTATTGTTAAATTTAATACCAACTTACATCAAAAACACCTTTTTTTTTGGACAAGTCAAAGGGCAAAATGCAGTATGACAAAGTACAAACAAATTGTACATTGATATGTAATTAACACTAAATCATCACTCATTACCTTGTGATAATATAGCGTGACATTCGCCACTGCTTTAATGAATCAGAAAGCCGTGGGGCCTGATTTTTATTAAATTTACATTGAGGTTATTATATCCGTATTATGAAATGGTTGGCACTGAACTCCACAGTTTTAGAGCCTGGCCGAGTTAAGTATGAGGGATCTTATTTCACACCAAAACCACAAGAGCTTCCTCCCATAAATAGTCTACATCCTTGGAGTAAAAGGAGGTGAAACTACCAATTATGAAGATATCCTTCCGTGTATGCGTCGTGCTGTAACTGCAAAAGGAACCCTTAGCTGCATCCTGATTTGCTGGCTACTTATACAAATACCTCCACCACCTCCTCCAGCCAGAGCTTATGTCTCCCTTTCTGGAACTCTCAAATTCCATTTTTTGCTGCTCAGACCCTACTTTCAAGGACATTTCATGCTTTCAGTCACATCATTATTCTGGCATGGTCAACTGCATCAATCCAAAAATAGAAAATATCCAGTTATACCAGAGAGATAGAACATCTAATAGTAAGCCTAAGTCCTCATGGTCATGAGCAACGAGAGCAAGGTGGCGGATAGTCCAACCTGTATATAACAATAAGTTATACACCGAGTGCAGAGGACCAAAAAAACAATAGCAAAAGTAACCAAAACTGCACCTGCTTTTATTACCACCATCAATTAGTAATTCTAAGCAATGCCAGTGATAATACATTCTTCTACAAAAAAAAAATTTTTGTTGGTCTGCTTAAACAGACACTGAAGTTATTGCTAATTTTTAATGATGCATTCAAAAACTCTTAAAATAGAATGTTTAGTACCTATCATTTAATAAATATATTTGGGGGGACATTAACACAGAGAACTCTAGATATACTGTTTACTTCTGAAAGTATAGACTTAAATACGTATGTCTGTTTTCAAGAATAAGAACTGAAGATCTGTTTTCACTGTTCACAATTTCAGTGTTATTATTGTTTAGTTCAGATCTGCTGTTGAATGGATGCATGTTAGGGAAAGAGCTGAAGGAATTCTAATCCCTTAGGGATTTTTAGGCTTTTACCTAACAGACTAGAAATGTGTATGATGAGCTTTCTGATGAAAATACATTAGTGGGGCCGGCACCACGGCTCAATAGGCTAATCCTCCACCTGCGGTGCCCACACACTGGGTTCTAGTCCCGGTCGGGGCACTGGATTCTGTCCGGTTGCCCCTCTTCCAGTTCAGCTCTCTGCTGTGGCCCGGGAGTGCAGTGGAGGATGGACCAAGTCCTTGGGCCCTGCACCCGCATCAGCACAGTGTGCCGGCTGCAGCGGCTACTGGGGGGGTGAACCAATGGAAAAGGAAGACCTTTCTCTCTGTCTCTCTCACTGTCCACTCTGCCTGTCAAAAAAAAAAAAGAAGAAGAAAATAAAAGAAAATACATTGGTAGACTTTTTTTTTTTAATTGCAGAGATTTGAGAGTTTATAGAACCAATCATAACCAAGCACATGGACAATTTATCATTTTTGGAATTTACTATAAAATGATATTTTTATGAATCTTTACCAGACATATCTTTATATTTAAAGTCTCCTATTCGCATGTCCGTGACTTCATGTGGAAATTGTTTTTGTTTTTGTGTGTTTTTTTTTTTTTTTTTGACAGGCAGAGTGGACAGTGAGAGAGAGAGAGACAGAGAGAAAGGTCTTCCTTTTGCCATTGGTTCACCCTCCAATGGTCACCGCGGCCTGCGCACTGCGGCCGGCACACCGCGCTGATCCGATGGCAGGAGCCAGGTACTTATCTTGGTCTCCCATGGGGTGCAGGGCCCAAGCACTTGGGCCATCCTCCACTGCACTCTCTGGCCACAGCAGAGAGCTGGCCTGGAAGAGGGGCAACCGGGACAGAATCCGGTGCCCCGACTGGGACTAGAACCCGGTGTGCCGGCGCCACAAGGCGGAGGATTAGCCTAGTGAGCCACGGTGCCAGCATGGAAATTGTTTTAATTTAAAATGAATAGAAAGTATTCTTTGGTCATTAAGACAGAAGATAGATGGGGAAATTAAGACTGTACTCTGTACACTCATTGGAACATGACCACATGTAGAAAATTGATTTTGACAAAATCAAGAACAAATCTTCAGAAGTAGCCTCAGAAAAAGAAATTTTAATGTTATTATCACTGGAGCATACCAATATGTAGCTTTTTGTCCATTTTTATGTAAAGTAGAATTGATCTAAAAAATAAATTAGTGTACTTTTTGTTCTGGGAAAACATATATACTATATGTAAATTTGTATTACATATAAAATATTCTGTAATACATTACTCCCCATGTAGGATCTCTGTCCTTAATGTGCTGTATAATGTGAATTAATGCTATAACTAGTACTCAAACAATACTTTACACTTTGTGTTTCTGTGTGGGTGCAAAGTGTTGAAATCCTTACTTAATATATACTAAATTGATCTTCTGTATATAAAGGTAATTAAAAATGAATCTTGATGTGAATGGAATTTGAGAGGGAGCAGGAGATGGGAGGATTGCAGGTGGGAGGGAAGTTATAGGGGAGGGGAGCCACTGTAATCTAAAAGCTGTACTTTGGAAATTTATATTTATTAAATAAAAGTTTAAAAAATTATATTTTATCATCCTTATTTATATTATTTTTTGTTTGACTTCATGATTGTTATTGAATATAATTCATATGCAATGGATGAATGTTAGAAAAAGAACCACACTCAGCATCAAATTCACCAGATATATCACTGTTCATGAGGACGTTGCAGAATAAACATCACCCTTCTCATTGGGTCATCACACTCTCCGAGCAGTGTGAGGAACATCAGGGAATTAGTTTTGAAGAAAAAGCACAACCAAAGGGTATATTCAACCTGTGAATAGAACACATCCTGATAATCATTTCTTCTTTCCATGTAAAATGTAATGAGAAAATCTTGTGGTATATTAACTTTATTAAAGTTGCAGGGAAGAAATGCTTGTGGCTCAGATAACAGACAGTGTAACAGGAATCCATGGGCACTTTGGAAGGCACATATTGTGATGAGAGGATGATGCATTAAATGCTGAAAAGACATTATAAGTGGTAAAGCCTTTAGAAAAACATGAAAGTATTACTGCTAGTTTTACCTACCCCCACTGAGATTAAATTGACAGTACACGTTTGCACTAGCGGTTGGTAATAGAGGTAGATGTGTTCTGATGACCAGTTACATTACATTAAAAAATGAGGGCACTTACAGCTTAATTCAAGTCGGATAAAGTCTTTAATGCCAAGATTTTCCAAGAAGACTCCCGATAAAGCCGTGGTTTTAAAAAAGAAGGAGATGTCAGCACTGAATTCCGCATGGAAGGTAGGGAAGTGGAGGTAAGAGGCTTCTGTGTAAAATGAGACGGCATTCCAGAAGTGTCCTGCAAATGAGAAGAGCTTTCAGCATGTGCCATCATTTTCAAGGGGGGTGGGATGCGTTGGACACATGGATCAGTTTCAAGACTCGGGGCCAATGCAGGGGAAAGGGATAAGGGAAGAGAAAGCATCTTGTGCTCAGGTAACGCAGAGAGAAAGCTTGTTCCAGCATAGTACTCACGGTCACCATAGCAACGCAAGGGGCCAATCCTCCAAGCGGCTTCTGAGTTTGATCTGTTGGTAGCAGTGATAACTATCTGAGTGACAGGCAAGTGGTCTTTGAAGGAGAGAAAGCCAGTGTCATTTGTCCTGCAAAACATAAATTTAAGGAAAAAAAAATGAGGACAAATTGTGGATAATCTAGGGACTCTCTGCTTAGACCCCTGTCTGAAAAACAGATTCTGGTGGTTGCAGGAGGGCAGCCATGGAGAGGGATAACACAAAGCCTTTCATCTCATGAATGTGCATGAAAGGCTGGAATGCCAGTTACAAAACCCATGGCTGGCTGCCAAAAACAAGTGGATTTTGCACCTTCCTAAATGTGTGTACAGAAGCACAGTTTACAAAAATCGCTGTGGCTCCTTGTGGCTAAGAGCACTCCACCTACTCAAAGATGTGCTAACACGACATCACACATCTCCTCTTTTTCACCATAAGGAGATGGGCTATCTTAATAGTTAACTCAAGTAGGCATCACAAATCCCATTTGAAAATTACTCCAATGGAGTTTTTCAGCCACCTCCCAACAGGTTTTCATCAACTTTGGATGCTTCTTATCACATTTTAGCTCTAGGAAAAACAAGTCATGGTGGTGAGGGCTGTGTTGTCTTTCATTGTGTTCTTCATTTTAGTGATCTTGGCTTTGTTTTTGTTAATTACACAGATAAGGGGTTGACTAGTCACTTTTTCATAAGAAAAATTTAAAAACAATGGGGCTATATCCAGCTCCCTGCTAATATACCTAGGAAAAGAGCTGACAATGGCCCAAGTGCTTGGCTCCTGCACCCAAGTGGAAGACTTGGAAGCAGCTCCTGGCTCCTGGCTTCCATCTGGCCTAGTTTCCACCATTGCAGCCATTTTTGGGGGGCGGTGAACCAGTGGATAGAAAAATCTTTGTTTTTCTCTCCCCATCCTCCCTAACTCAGTCTACCAAATAAAATAAATAAAACCTTAAAAAAATGTTCTCCCTGATCGGTGACGACTGACTGAACACCAAGAGGGAAACCTGTTGGAGTGAGGTGGACACTATGGGAAATGGTGGCTTGATCAGCATAGCCCTGACTGTTAATGAACAAGTAAATAATACATTATCCCTCTTAGTAAAAAAAAAAAAAAAAAAAAAAAAAAAAAAAAAAAAAAAAAAAAAAAAAAAAAATGGGACTGAAACCATTGTGTTTGTCCACTTTTTAATTAACTTTTTAATAGCCAATTTGGTCAAAAGTAAAAATTAGAGAAAAGACTCTGGTGTTGAAGTATATTGATTTTGAGACCGATATGTAAAGGGGTAGGTATTTTTTTTCTCACACAACACTCCTCTATGTAGGGTACCATTACCCTAATTTAAAATGGGAAAACTGGAGGTTCAGAGATACTAAATAACTTGTGTGAAGTCAGGGGACAAGTCACATTCTTGGTATCCCCAGCATCTATCCTACATCCTGAAGGACAGAGCCTTGTAAGCATGCAGAATCCTTCTGGAATCCTAGGTGCACCACCCTAGTGGTGATAGTCTGGGTAAGAGATCTCCCTGTGCTCTGCTTTAAAATGAAGATAACATTTACCTCAGAGCAATATTGAAAGGATGAAATGGAGTTATGTAGTCACTTAGCATTGTCCCTGATCTATGGCAAATAAAAAAAAAAAAGGCAGTAGCGACATCTATTTTATTTCTCTTCTTTGTTCTCATACCACTCTGAGGCCTTAGGCAAGTCAACTCATCTTCTCATGCATCTTCCTGTGATTCTGTATGGGACATTGCATATTGTGCAGCATGTGTGCAAAATTAAGCTTTAAAATGTATCACCCAGCTCATGAGATTTGCGCAAAAGCACATATTAATTAATTTTGATTATAAATAAACATTCACCCGCACACATATATCTACAGGTCTATTCACCAGATATCTAAAGAAACGCATTACACAGTATCTGTAATTTGAGTGTCTGTATTCAAAGGTCACTCAAAAGATCTGGAATAAGGCATTTGTCACATTTTAAAAACACATCTGGGTGCATAGACAAAAAAATTGAGATTTCTCATTTCTAATATCTTTTCAGAGCCAAAGTGGAATGAAAGCCAAACCCAAATTCTCTCCTGGGGAAATTCTGAAATGCTATTGGATTTTATTTCTCTCCATTTTCATTTTCAAGGTGAAAATGGTAGACTTTGATGTCTGTCTGTCAATGCTAACTGCTGCATTCCTTATGCCCTATGGCATCTTATCTACATCAATTTGATGTCTTTCTGCCAAAGTGTTGGGATATACAAATAGTACTCTATGAATAAAAATATCTTCCAAATAACACTGAAGACAATCATATTTAATTTGATGATTGAATGCACAATGCCAAGAATAGTTTTTATCTGAAAACTTAAGCAAAAAAAGTAACTATCTAAAGTTGCTTAAAGCAAAAAAAGCACATACAAACTCACACGTCTATAGAGGCCAGGCAAGTAATAGAAATGGGTTCAAGCAGCTTTGCATTGGTTAAGAAAAGGAATCTGGAAGACACGTTCAGTGGGACAGGGGGAATAAGACTGGTAGATGTCCCTGCATAAAGGGAGGCAGTGATCGCCATTAGTAAGAGATAACTAAACCACTCATGAATATGGAATTTTTTTTTTTTTTGACAGGCAGAGTGGACAGTGAGAGAGAGAGACATAGAGAAAGGTCTTCCTTTGCCACTGGTTCACCCTCCAATGGCCGCCGCAGCTGGCGCGCTGCGGCTGGCGCACCATGGCCGGCGCACCGCACTGATCCGATGGCAGGAGCCAGGTACTTATCCTGGTCTCCCATGGGGTGCAGGGCCCAAGCACTTGGGCCATCCTCCACTACACTCCCTGGCCACAGCAGAGAGCTGGCCTGGAAGAGGGGCAACCGGGACAGAATCCGGCACCCCGACCGGGACTAGAACCCGGTGTGCCAGCGCCGCAATGCGGAGGATTAGCCTAGTGAGCCGCGGCGCCCGCCAAATATGGAATCTTAATGTGAAACATTTTCACCTTTTAGATCATGGCAATGAATTTTAAATTCACAGTTAAATAAAGAATGACAGTATGGTGGGAATCAACACAGTGGCCAATGCAACCCACATAAGGTCTGTGTTCAGTGGACAGGCAACTGAACCATCCAGTGAAACTTGCATGTCATTCATGCTCATAGGGTAATATCGAGAAGAAGCCTGGATTTAATTCAACATAGGTATGACAGAATTTACTACAAAATTTCAAAATATTTGAGATGTTAGGGAGGGTTTAGTCATAATAAAGTGATGTAAATCAGGGAAGAACCTTTTTTTTTTTTTTTTTTTAACAGGCAGAGTGGACAGTGAGAGAGACAGAGAGAAAGGTCTTCCTTTGCCGTTGGTTCACCCTCCAATGGCTGGCATGGCCGGCGCACTGCAGCCGGCGCACCTCACTGATCCGAAGCCAGGAGCCAGGTGCTTCCTCCTGGTCTCCCATGCCGGTGCAGGGCCCAAGCACTTGGGCCATCCTCCACTGCACTCCTGGGTCACAGCAGAGAGCTGGACTGGAAGAGGAGCAACCGGGACAGAATCCGGTGCCCCGACTGGGACTAGGACCTGGTGTGCTGGTGCCGCAGGCAGAGGATTAGCCTATTGAGCCCCGTCGTCGGCTGAACCTTTTTTTTTTTTTTTTTGAAGATTTATTTTATTTATTTGAAAGAGTTACAGAGAGAGGTAAAGACAGAGAGAGAGCTCTTCATCTGCTGGTTCACTCCCCAGATGGCCACAATGGCGGGAGCTGTGCCGATCTGAAGCCAGGAGCCAGGAGCTTCTTCTGGGTCTCCTAAGTGGGTACAGGGACCCAAAGACGTAGGCCATCTTCTATTGCCTTCCCAGGCCATAGCAGAAAGCTGGATTGGAAGAGGAGCAGCCGGATCTCTAACCAGTGCCCATAAGGGATGCCAGCTCTTCATGCCGAGGTTTAACCCTTGTGCCACAGCGCCACCCCCAAGGGAAGAACCTTTTGATAGGCAGGGAGCCTATAGTTACATGTTTGACTTTCTTCAGCCCAAAGGCACATGCTTTGCAGACCTTGATTTCCTCTGGAATGATGCACAGTAAAGTTGAGAGGTGACTGTGTGGTGGGAAAGCATGTCTGTTGGGAACAGACTGACATGAATCGAAGTCATGTGCATCATATCCTGCACATATATGTGTATGTATACTGTATGCACACTTGTGTGATACCACCCTGGGCCTTGGTTTCCTTATCTTATTTTTTAAAGATTTATTTAACTTATTTGAAAGGCAGAGTTACAGAGAAGCAGAGGCAGAGAGAGAGAGAGAGAGAATGAGAGAGAGAAAGAGAGTGAGAGAGGTCTTCTATCAGCTGGTTCACTCCCCAGATGGCCGCAAGGGTCACAGTTGGACTGATCCAAAGCTGTGCCAATCCAAAACCACGCCTATCCAAAGCTAGGAGCTTCTTCCAGCTCTGCAACCACACCCTAATGCAGCCCATCAGTGCATTCTGAGCTTGGTTCTCCATTTCCATTCTTTTTTTTTTTTAAGAGATTTATTTATTTATTTATTTGAAGGGCAGAGTTACATAGAGGGAGGAGAAGCAGAGAAAGAAAGAGAGAGGTCTTCCATCCAAGGTTCAGTTCCCAATTGGCTGCAATGGCTGGAGATGCGCCAATTCGAAGCCAGGAGCCAGGAGCTTCCTCTGGGTCTCCCACGCAGTTGCAGGGGCACAAGAACTTGGGCCATCTTCTACTGCTTTCCCAGGCCATAGCAGAGAACTGGATGAGAAGTGGAGCAGCCGGGTCTCACATGGGATGCCAGCACTGCAGGAGTTGGCTTTACCCACTGTCACAGTGCTGCCCCATTTCCTTATCTTTTAAGTACTGATAATAAATATTGTACAAGCCAAGGTGAATAGCTTTTACCCCAAGTCAGTATTATACTTATTTGCTACTGCACTAACTCATACTTAGCAGAGACTCAATAAGAAGTTACTGAAATACTAACATTTGAGATAGAAGTGCAAAATACAAAAAAATATTTTAAAAGAAAATGACAAAAGAAATCCTCTATTTTAATGAATGATCAGGACAGTCAGAATTTCCC